TTTTACATTCCAATCGTTTTTTTTTCTAAAAAATTTTTTAAAATTTAAACAACTTTTGAGAAAGTTATATTTTTGGGTAAAATAGTATATATTTTATTGAAGTAGTTTGTATATTATAAATAAATTCAAAACTTTAAGGCGTATATAATTATAATAACAATAAACAAGTATATATATATATATATATATATTCCCACGTTTCGACGAATCCTGTCATCCCTTTTCAGTAAAAATCGATAATTTCGCGTAGGTGGTTAGTATACGAATTTTATCCCTGACTCTGTTTCTCGTCAATGGAGATAACATATTACTCTACTATACTATAGTAGACGTTGGTTTACGTTGTCATATACACATTTCGAGTATTAAAAGCTAAAAACAGACTTTGACAACCTAAAAATAATTGACACATATCAGACATATCAGCGACTGTGCGTTATGGATTTGTTTACTAGATTATGTGTAACTTTTAAATAGTTAGTCTGGGGTTAATGGTATATTTGGTAGATTTGTTTGTGAATATATGTACAAAATATATTTATAAAATTTAATGTTGAAACATTCAATAAATTCTGAGATGCGAGGTCGATGGATGGGTGGCTGGCTCCGCGCCCGATACTAACATTTAAACCGATGGTATGTTCTCACAAATGCATGATGCGATTTTGATGAAACTTAACACATATTGTTACTATATTTTACCGAGATTGTTACCAAAATTTAAAGTAGGAACATTCATTAGTTTCTGAGATATGCAAGATTGATGGATGGGTGGCTGGCTCCGCGCTCAGTACTAACATTTAAACAGATTGTATGTTCTCAAAAATGCATGTTGCGATTTTGATGAAACTTGACACACGTTGTTCCTATACTTTACCAAAGAAGTGACCAAAATTTATAGTTGAATCACTCAATAGTTTCTGAGATATGCGAGGTCGATGGATGGGTGGCTGGCTCCGCGCTCAATACTAACATTTAAACAGATGATATGTTCTCAAAAAGGCACGTTGCAATTTTGATGAAACTTGACACACATTGTTACTATTCTTTGGCAAGATTGTGACCAAAATTCAAAATTGGAATATTTAGTAGTTTCTGAGATATGCGAGGTTGATTGGTGGCTGGCTGGATCCGCGCTCAATACTGACATTTAAACAGATAGTATGTTCTCAAAAATGCATGTTGCGATTTTGATGAAACATGACACATATTGTCACTATACTTTACTAAAATCATGACCAAAATTTATAGTTGAATCACTCATTAGTTTCTGTGATATGCGAGATCGATGGATGGGTTTCTGATTCCGCGCTCAGTACTAACATTTAAACAGATGGTATGTTCTCAAAAATGCATATTGCGATTTTGATGAAACTTGACACACATTGTTACTATACTTTACTAAGATTGTGACCAAAATTTAAAGTTGGAACATTCAATAGTTTCTGAGATATGCGAGGTCGATGGATGGGTTTCTGGCTCCGCGCTTAGTACTAACATTTAAACAGATGGTATGTTCTTAAAAATGCGCTCAATAACAACAAACAAAAATGCGCTCAATGCTAATATTCATATGTAAAGATTTTCTTTACTTTTTCATTTCTAAATATGCCGTGGACCCCCAAATTTTGTATTACATATAATTAGACCAGGGTTGGGAGTGAGGCGTTAACATGCCGCCGGACTTGAAAAATTATGAGGAATTAATTATGAATATTTTTCAACATAACTTAATCCTGGACTGATTGATGCTAATGATAATGTTAATGGACATATTATTAAGTTATTCATTGACACTTAATAGAGTCTTTAAAATTGTCCAAATGTTTATAATGATTGATGATAATTACGTAGGTAAAAATCACCTCTAATGCCGCAACTCATCATTGTCTCTTATATAATTTCTAATTTACCATCTGTCTTTAACCATAAATATCTATTTATATCTTCACTATCAATTATAATTTATCATTGTCCTTTACCCATGTTGCTAAAATCTGTCCTTTGCCCTCGATTTGCAGAGTTTCTGGGGAAATGAATGAATTCGCCAGCTAAATCGATCTACTACAAACACTTTGGTGGAGTTTGCGCCATTCGACAAATTCCTTTGCAACACTATAGCTAAATAGCGATTGTTTTAGCTATAATAGATAGACCAGGTCGAATGTTATGAAAACAGAAAATTGGACATAGAAAATAATGAGGAACTAGTGGTGTATGGTGGCGTGTCATCTGAAGGTAAGAGTAATAAATAAGATAAAATTTGAAGAGATACAAGTATTTTGTGTTTAATTGCCAAACGTTCTTGGAACATAATGTTTATTTGGTAAATTTAAATTTTTTGATAATTATTTATTTTAAATTATTTATTATCGAAATGTTGGTTTTATTGAAATTATTCCTAAAAACATGAAGTTTTCATTTTGATGAAATTATTGATAAATACACTGTTCTTATTTATATAATTTTTTATGTGTTGATATTTGTTTTAAAAAAATGGAGTAATTTGAAAATTTAAAAAATTCCAGTAAATAAATATTCTGTATTAATTGGTCTTTGAATTATTGAAGATATTTCAAGAAAATTCAAGAAATTCGCACTCCTTTAATTGAAGCTATTTCATATTTTTTTTCTTTTTATACATTTTATTCGGAACTTAACATTTTTTAAAATAAAATGTTTTTTTGGTAAGAAAAAGAATTTTGAGATCAATTTATGCTATTTTACGTCAAATTAATCTATCATTTTTTTTCAAATTTTTATCATAATTTGGGACATACTATTTTTTTTAAAAAAACTATTCTCAAAAACTTAATTTTCTTTAAAAAAAATGTTCGACATTATTCAACATTTATAAGTTTTAAGAATTATCTGCGTTTCAATTGAGGTATTTTTGAAACTTGAGTTTTTGAATATATTTAATTAATAGAATTTTTAAGAATTTTTCATACGATTTTATTTGAAGTTATTTTTTTATTTCTTTCTTTCAATTTCTCGCTAAAAGAAATAAAAATGTCTAAAACATTTTTTTTATTAGAAGTTACTTTTACTAAAAAAATTAAATTAGTAAATTAAAAACTTTACAATTTACTATTTTAATATGCTGTTTTGATTAAAAATTTTATTCAAATTTAAATTGCTATTTTACTTTAGACAATTTAATAAATTTTCTGATAAAAGAATAGAGTTTAAAACAATTTTATTTTATTTTTAAAAGTTACTTCAAAAATTCGATTAAATAAACGATTGACATTTAAGTTTGTAATTTTAAATATTTGATTGAGAATTTTATTCAAATTTAAATTTTCTGATGATATTTGAATTTGTTTGAACCTTTCAATCTTTTTTAGAAGAAAATTTATGAAATTATTCGAAATAAAATAGCGAAGTTCTTTTGGTGAAATATTTAATTAAAAAACAGAATGAAATTTGTATAAATCGCTTGAAAATTTCTTGATTTATTTATTTAATTCTACTTCAAATTATTTTATAAAAAAACCTAAGATACATAATGAGAGAGTTCCATTTTTTTCAAAATTTATTTTAAAAAACAGACATTTTCAAAAATTTAATAATTTTAAGAATTAATAACGCTTTTTTAATTAAGATATTATTAAAACTAGAAATTTTGTAGGTAATTTCAACAAATATTTTAAAACGTTATAAAAAATGTCATGCTCTTTATTTGAAATAATTTTAAACACTTATTTTTAAAAATTCAAATTGTTTGATATTTTTGATATTTTAATTTAAGTGAATTGTTTATTTTAAATAAAAAAAATCATAAATTAGATTCGAAGTTTAGATTTAAAGTTTTCAAAATTTTGGAATAATTTTAAACACTTAAATTTGATTTTTAAAAATTCAAATTATTTGTTATTTTTGTTATTTTAATTGTGATTTTTTTTTTAAACGCGATGACTAAGAAAAATTACTACTTTTTTGAAAATTTCAAAAGTTAAACATGATTTTTGAATCAAAATCTTATTTTAAAACAAATTGGAAACCCCATGTATAAAGTGCACAAATATTTGAAGTTAAATCGACAATTGGCTTTGGAGTAAAATGAACGATTAACTTGGCAATTTTTTCTAAATTATTCTGTTTATATTAGAATGTTGTAATTTGGGTATAATATTCTCTAATGTACCTACTATAACAGTAAATACTAAAACTAATGGGATCTCTTACAAAAAATGTAAGATTTTCAACATTTTTTGTATAAAGTCTACAAATGTTTGAAGTTTAATGGTCAATTAGCTTTGGGGTTATTTCCATTCAAAATTCTATTAAAGTGAATTGTTTCTATTTAAAAAAAAATCATTAATTAGACTTATTTAAAGTTCTCGATAATCAACATCATTCAGTCATTAAAATTTTAAAAATTTAATTAATTTTATAATTTGTAATGACTTCAAATATAAATAAAAAATGTAAAATTATTATTTATTTTTGTCATGGGGACAAAAAAGTAATTCTTCATTATTCATTGGAATTCCTTTCTTAGACAAAAAAATATTTAAAATTATTATAATAAGCAATTATAACATAAAATAATTGGATATCATATCGAGAAATTTGAAAATCATTTTTGGCCTGGAATGTAATAATAATTACACAACATTAACAATTTATATAAAAAATATCAATTTATTACCTGCAAAAATAGTATTATATATACATTACTAAATAATTTTACACTAATTATTCCATGATTGTTGTTAAACTCAAGCAAATGGAAAACAACTAAAAAACAAACATCTTCCATATGAATGGACTAGTAAAAATCTTTTATTTATTTTTTACTATTGTCGACGTTCTAAAATTTCACGAAAATGGGAAACAGCATTATAGTTGAACAAATTCACAGCACATGAATAATTTTACACTAAATATTTCATATTTTTGTTAAACTCAAAATCAAATGAAAAACAAATAAAAACAAACATCTTGCATAAAATTAATATAAATAGACTAGTAAAAATTTTAAATATTTTTTACTATCGACGTTCCAAAATTTCACGAAAATGGGAAACAGCATTATAGTTGAACAAATTGACAGCACTCATAGCAACCTCTTGGTTAGGATGATATTTCCCAACAAAATTTTCCACAATTTGCCAAGCATTTAAGACTTCTTGTATCTCATCAGAAGATGGTAGTACATCATCTTTGTCAGACTCTAGAGCAAAATCTTCATTGAGTTCTTCTTTAATATCTAGATCTTCATCCATATTGGTGACCCTGTCATCAATTACAGGTTCGACAGGCAAAGATTCAAAACCTTCCCAGTCGTTTTCTATAATAATTTCTGGCCACAAAATTTTCCAAGCTGAGGTCAGGGTTGTTTTAGGAAATTCTGTCCAAATTTTGTTGATTATGGTGAGACACATTACGATGTGGAAGTGGTTTTTGCTGAATTCATCAAGGGTGACTTTAGATTTTTTGGCCATTGCTAAACAGTGATCTAACAATTCTTTGGTGTAAAGTTGCTTAAAAGTTGGTAAAATCGTCTGGTCCATCGGTTGTACCAGAGGTGCAGTATTTGGTGGTAGAGGCAGAATTAAGATTTTGTCATCCTTTGGTAAGTTTGTGCTTAAATTTGAATCTAGTACAAGTAAGGCTTTGACTGGTAAATTTTGTTGCACCAAATACAGGTGTACAGATGGTCTAAAAACTTCTTCAAACCAGTCTGCAAACAATTCAGATTGCACAAGGCATTTTTTGTGACTCCTCCACATGACATCAAGTTTGTTTTTGTCAATGTTGTATTTAAGAAATTCTGCTGGTGTTTCGGAGTTGTACACAAGTAGTGGTTTGAGCTTGAAATCGCCACTGGAATTTGCACACAAAAGCAAGGACAGACGATGTTTGTTTACAGTTTTGGTGGTGTCTTCAGCTTTGGAAATGTTTTTCCATAACAAACTCATAGCACTGCAGTTGAAGACTTGTTGAGGCTCGAATTCAGCACAAAGTTTTTTAAAGTTTTTGATAAACTTATCAGCAGCTGTCGTATCAGCTTTGGAGGCTTCACCAAAACTGCAAATGCCTGTACGTCTTTTAAATTTCTCGAACCAACCACGGCTGCCTTTGAAACCTTCCTGGTCGACATCAGGTGTCTTTTGCACAAGTTCTGCAAAAATCTGCTTGGCCTTTTCACAAATCACATTCTCATTCACCAAATCACCTTGCAACTGTTTGTCCTTGATCCAGATCAAAAGACTCCTTTCAACGTCGTCCAGGATTCGTAATCTTTGTGCAGATATTCTGGTGACCCCTCTAGAAGCATCTATATCCTTTATCTTATCCTTGTTTTTGAGAATCGTACAAATTGTCGACGTAGGACGATTGTAGATTCGGCCCAAATCGGTAACGCTCAAGCCACGTTCTCGATCTTTTATAATCTGATGCTTCATTTCGATGGTTATTTTCAGGCGTTTGTGGATGGAATCTTGGGATTTTTTTGATGCAGCCATGATAAAAGAACTTTTAATTATTTTATTGTGTTTTTACTTTATGATGTATTTGGTTTATTTTATTTTATTTTTAATAAAAACTGAAAATGTGTCCGCGCGTCTGAGTGCGCAGTGCGACTGATAACGACGTGGAATGTTCCCCCACTCGTTGTGCGAAGCATAAGTTCGCTCGTTAAGCGAAGTCGTTCGTTTAAACTCGTTTTTATGAACAGTGAATGTCAAACTTTGGGAAAATTAAATATATATATATATATATATATATATATATATATATATGTATATTATTGAAATGTTAATTTGCAGCCAAATAGTCCAAGTAAAAGGCAATGAATATTTGAACTATTTATTTTGTACGTTTCGACCCTGTATGTGTGCCCATCATTCAGCATATTTTTATTTTCAAAGTTTAATTTTTTTTAAATATATTATTAGAATTAGAAAAAGATACACAAGTAAAAAATAAAAAACACACGTAAAAAAATAACATTGTAAATAACTTTTTCTACTTACATATTGTAAAAATATGCTGAATGATGGCACACATACAGTGTCGAAACGTACAAAATAGATATATAATACATATAAGAAATAAAATGATGACACACATACAGTGTCAACTCGTTTTTACGTGTCATAACGTACAAAATAAATAGTTTAACTTTTGGAATTTATTACAAAGGATTACAAATGTTTTTTTTAAATAAATAGAAATATTTACACATATTTTTAAAAAACTAGGCACTTCTATTTTTATATTTTTGTACATTTTTTCATATCTTAATGTTTTTATTTTTTTCCTGTTATAACATTTTTTTTTAAATTAGGAACAATTACACACATCTATTTATTTAAAAAAATATAGACATTAAATTCTTTTTTTATAAGTTTTCTACATTTTTCCATATTTTCACGCTTTTAATATTTTTTTTATATTTCTGTACTTTGAAAATTTATGTTAAAAAATAATTAGAAACATTTACACAAATTTTTATATTTTATATTTTCATTTATATATATTACAAATTTTATATTTATTTATTTTTTATTAATTGTAATAATTTTACATTTATTTTTAATTTTTTACATTTTATTTTTATGATTTCGCATATTTTTTCATATTTTACATGTTTGTATTTATTTTTTATATTTCATTATTACAAATTATGAACATTTGCACACATTAAAAAATCAGATATTCTTCTTTATTTTTTATATTTGTAATTTTTATCATATTTCCAAATGTTTGCATTCATTTTTCATGTGTTCACAATTTATTTAAATAAAATAGCAATATTTTCACATATTTAAAAAAAATAGTTCCATCAAAATATTCCATTATTATTGTTACATACATGCATTATTTTTGTACATTTTACAATTTTCTTTTAAAAAAATACATACATTTACTAAATAAATACACAAATATTTAAAAAAATTAGAGATTTCTATACATTTTTATATATAATATTTGCACATTTTATTATATTTTACAATTTACTAAAAATGTTTTATAAGCTTCAACATGTTTACTATTTTTACTTCCCGAAGGAAAAGTTTGTTTTCGTCACAGAATCCGATGTTTTAAGTCATTCTGAATCATTTGACATCAAAATTGTAAAGAGTCTGCGGATAAGTAAGAAATCATCTTAAAATTTCTATCATAATTATTAATAGTGAAATTAAATAAAAATGATTAATATTAATACAACAACTTAAACATATAGGGTTAATTTTTTGTCATGTTATTAAAATAAAATTATTTATTCAATTTATTTCTAATCCAAAATTTGATATTATTACGCTTGAAAAATATTGAAAAAAATTGCATAGAATAGTTTTTATTGAACCATTGAAAATTTTATTTAATATCCAAATCTCAATTTGAGTCAATTATTACACGTATCGGGAAGTTCATGCAACTTGCCTTAAGGCAAAATGCCACTTACATCTAATTTTAGTTTTCCAAAGATAAAAAATAATTATTTAACGCATACGAAGATTTAAAAAAAATAAATCATTTATAACAAAATATTTACTATATCAAATAATTGAATTAAATATTGAAGTAAAATTTTAGAAAAATAAAAAAAATATTTAATATGTAAGTAATTATTAATACTTTCCTACGTATTAAAATAAGCAAGTTGTAAAAACCTTTTCACCTATAATTTTCAAACGCTATTTTTGCATATAAATTGTTTATTCTGTAAAGAAAATTAAGACTACCTAAAAATTATGAGCCTTTAGCTGGACTTTCAGACAAAACTTATCAATTGTACAAAAAACTTTCCAAATTTATAACAAAAACATATGATACATATTTAAAATTAAAATTTTCTATTTAGTTAACCAAAAATAATTTTCCGGTATATATTTTATTAATATTTATTTATGAAAAATTATAACGAGATCTATTTTTGTTAATCTTACTTCAATATTTATAACAAATTATAACTTTTTTTATTTTTGTTAATTAACTTCCCGTAGGGTAAGTTATTGTAATGGGCCGAAAATCGGAATTGAAAATTTTTACATTTCTCGACGTTTTGAAGGTTTCTGAACATTTTGGCATACCTCAGAAAAAATGGATGTGTGTGTGTGTGTGTGTGTGTGTATGTATGTATGGATACAAATTTCCAGTCACGTTTCAGGGCGCACGGATCAACCGATTTGAATGGTTCAAAAAACATTCGATTCCTATTGATAGGGAAAAGAGCTGATTAGTTTTTGGCAAAGGCAGGTCCAGCCGTTTCGGAGATACGGAGCAATGAGTGCAGAAAATAGAAATCGAATTTTTGAGAGAACGGAGTATCCGATTTGAATCATCTAAAAAACATTCAATTAGTAATGATTGGGAGAAGTGTTTATTAGTTTTTGGCAAAGGCAGGCCCAGCCATTTTGATGATACAGAGTTAAATGTGCAAAAAATGGAGAGAACTAAGCGTCCGATTTAAATGATTCAAAGAACTTTCTGCTTGTCTTAACAAAATAATTGATTTTGGAAAAAAAAAATTGTTCCAATTTTTTTTTTTTTTTTTGTTTATCGAAAATATTTCAGATTTTATTTTTAATTCTGACTATAGTTCTAATATACTTCAAACAAATAATTTCAACTTTGCAATTCAGTTTATATAATTCTTATAAATATTAGACAATGTTACAATATTTATAATAATCTATTTGAAAACATTCAGTATTCCTCGAACATTTCGTTACGGTACGGGAAGTTCCAGCAATTTGCCTTAAGGCACGATGCCATAATTGCCTCAAGACAGAATTCGACTTACAGCTAGTTTTATTTCAATATTTATAGCAAATTATAACGATTTCTATTTTTGTTAATCTTACTTCAATATTTATAACAAATTATAACGATTTATGTTTTTTTTCTGTGAAACTTCTATTTAGATAAATTTATTTAACCAAAAACAATTTTCCGGTATATTAAATCTCCTTATAATATTAAATTAATTTTAAATATATCATTCTACCATCAAAATACCATTATCAATATTTTTCTTACACTCACCAAAATAAAACTATCGAACTAAACTTAAAACTGAACTCATATCTCCTCTACCTCGTCGTTCCGTTACAAGATATCGCCACATCGCTCCCACAGTTCGAACAAACGCTCTGCAATACCACTAGTGCTAGTATATAGAATACCACTTGTATACCGTTAAATTTGTCATCAGTAGGGTCATTACTGATCCACTGTTACCAGATGATGAGCTCGGGATATGAATCTTGTGATTCCAATCCGCTCGGTTTTCGGTCATTTGCAACGACGACCGCACTCCGAATATCTGATGGTAATTAATATTGATGACCAATAGTAATAATAAGAATGGTATAATAATAAAATAGAATTATGATATAGCTATATTGATGTTATATTTATAACGGTATATATTGTATGTTACAATATTAATTATAACAAATACTCTTATGAGTTTTAACTACAAGTTATTTGAGTCACTCATTTCTCGTAAATATTGTAATCATTATAACGATTTGTATTTTTGGTAATTTTTCTTCAATAATTATAACAATTTCTATTTTTGTTGATTCAATAATTATAACAATTTCTATTTTTATTTTCTCTTCAATACTTATGATAATAAAATGAGGTTATAATATCATATCAATATCATAACGATTTGTATTTTTGTTAATCTTACTTCAATATTTATAACAAATTATAACGTTTTGTATTTTTGTTATTCGTTACTTCAATATTTATAAAAATTATAACGATTTCTATTATTGTTAATCTTACTTCAATATTTATAACGATTTGCATTTTTGTTAATATTACTTCAATATTTATAACACATTATAACGATTTCTATTTTTGTTAATAATCTCACTTCAATATTTATAACACATTATAACGATTTATATTTTTGTTAATAATCTCACTTCAATATTTATAACACATTATAACGATTTATATTTTTGTTAATCTTACTTCAATATTTATAACGATTTGTATTTTTGTTAATCTTATAATATTACTTCAATATTTATAACAAATTATAACGATTTCTATTTTTGTTAATAATCTCACTTCAATATTTATAACACATTATAACGATTTATATTTTTGTTAATAATCTCACTTCAATATTTATAACACATTATAACGAATCATATTTTTGTTAATCTTACTTTAATATTTATAACGATTTGTATTTTTGTTAATCTTATAATATTACTTCAATATTTATAACAAATTATAACGATTTCTATTTTTGGTAATCTTACTTCAATATTTATAACACATTATAACGATTTATATTTTTGTTAATAATCTCACTTCAATATTTATAACACATTATAACGATTTATATTTTTGTTAATCTTACTTCAATATTTATAACGATTTGTATTTTTGTTAATCTTATAATATTACTTCAATATTTATAACAAATTATAACGATTTCTATTTTTGGTAATCTTACTTCAATATTTATAACACATTATAACGATTTGCATTTTTGTTAATATTACTTCAATATTTATAACACATTATAACGATTTCTATTTTTGGTAATCTTACTTCAATATTTATAACACATTATAACGATTTATATTTTTGTTAATAATCTCACTTCAATATTTATAACACATTATAACGATTTATATTTTTGTTAATCTTACTTCAATATTTATAACGATTTGTATTTTTGTTAATCTTATAATATTACTTCAATATTTATAACAAATTATAACGATTTCTATTTTTGGTAATCTTACTTCAATATTTATAACACATTATAACGATTTATATTTTTGTTAATAATCTCACTTCAATATTTATAACACATTATAACGATTTATATTTTTGTTAATCTTACTTCAATATTTATAACGATTTGTATTTTTGTTAATCTTATAATATTACTTCAATATTTATAACAAATTATAACGATTTCTATTTTTGGTAATCTTACTTCAATATTTATAACGATTGGTATTTTTGTTAATCTTACTTCAATATTTATAACGATTGGTATTTTTGTTAATCTTACTTTAATATTTTTAACGAATTATAATTATTTCTATTTTTGTTAATCTTACTTCAATATTCATGTTATAAAAATATTAAATATCATAATTATTGAGGCAGAAGCAACAACAATTCTAAAACTCTGAATTGCTATTGAGATAAAAATAACAACCCTTGAAACCCTAAATCACTATTGTAACCCTTGAAACATTAAATCACCTAAGAGAAATTAACAACATCCTATTTTATTGGAGAAAAGAACGTCAATACTGAGATGAAAATTGTAACAATATTTATGGTTACAATTTCAGGGATAATTGTTACAACAATACTAATTCCTAAGGATTATAAATTTATTGAAACAAAAGTAACAACAACTCTACAATTTTTTAGGGGGTAACAAAAACATAAATGTCAGAGTAAAACTATATTTAATGGTATAATTATAAAAAACAATACTAATAAGTGTCGTAATTATAGGGATAATAGTAGTAACGAAATTAAATTGTTATAATTATTATAGTAAGATTAACAAAAATACAAATCGTCATAATTTGTTATAATTATTATAATATTTAGGAGAAGTGGGACAAACAACTTTAATTAAGAAACAAATTAAGTTATTGTTAGAACTTACTTGTATAAGTTATTATTTAGTATTGTAACTACAATTCTATAAAGTACAATACTAATACTAAATGCAATTGAAAATATTAAAGACAGTGCAAATATTATAAAGAAAATGTTTAGAAAAGTCTATTTTTAAAAATAAAAAAATAAAGGTTTTTATCTTAACAAAAAATAGTAAAAATCTAAAAAAAAAAAAAAAAACATGTGAAAAGAAATGCGTGAAAATTATATAAAAAATTCATAGAAATGTCTGATTAAAAAATTTAATCTGCTTAAAAATAAATGAAAATATGTAACTAAATAAAAAAATGTGCAAAAATATTAAAAACTGCAAGAAAATGCTTATTTTTTTGAAAAAAAATGTATGTAATTATTTTTTATTTTAAAAAAATGAGTAATTAAACAAATAAACAAAAACATGTAAAAAATGAAAAAATATGCGAACAACTTAAATAAAAATGCATAGGAATGTTTAATTTAAAAAAGTATGTACATGCTTTTACTTTATATTATTGAAAGACGTATTTTTGACATAAAATACAGTTTATTCATCGAGTCATTTACATCTTAAAAATATAAACAATTGTCTTTATATACATTTTTAAGTATAAACATTAATAATAAATTTTATAAACATTTTAATTTCAATTCAGCTATTAGAGATCCTCGTATCAAATCCTTATTCTTGTCAAATATCATTTTAAAATCCTTCCATACAAACCTACATATATGTACATACATACATAATACATACATATATATAGATACATACATACACATATAAAATGATTTCTTATGACTAAAAACTTAATTGTGAAGGAAATTAATTTGTTTGTGTCATTCGAAAATTACTAAAATTTTTATATACATACATACATCTGTACATACATACATACATACATACATACATAAATTCATTAAAAATTATTTCTTACAATAAAAAACTTAAAATTCTGAAGGAAATAAATTTGTTTGTTCCATTAGAAATTTACTAAAATTTTTATAAACATACATACATCCATACATATATACATAAATACATGTATACATACATAAATACATGTATACATTCATACATACATGTATACATACATACATACATAGATACATAAATACACACATAGAAAATTATTTCTTACAACTAAAAACTTATAATTAAAAGGAAATCAATTTGTTCGTTACTTTAGACATTTTTTTTAATTCATACATACACACATAAATATACACATACATACATACATACTTTAAAAATTATTTCTTACAATAAAAACTTACAATTATTAAGGAAATCAATATGTTTGTTACATTATAAAATTGTTAATATTTTTTGTAAAATTCTTATATACATACATACATATATACATACATATATACATACATACATAGTATATATTAGGTTGTCAAATATCTCCCTTCCGCCTTTTTGTATTATAAACCAAAACATATACAATATATACAATGATATATAAAATTATTCCTTACAATTAAATCTTACAATTATTAAGGAAACATTTAGTGACGTGATAAATGAGATCATCATTCTATTTAACAATCAGATTTGGTCTCAATTATGTATTAATTAAAACTTATAAAAATAACTTATTTAAAGTCATAAAAATTATTACTATGCTACTAATATTTATATACATTTTTTAAACCGATTTTTTACTTTTTTTTGGTTCGAGGCTACCTTTTTCACGAATAATCTTCGCCAGTTTTGGCATGATTGTTGGAACTTGAAGGTTCCTGATTCCTGTTGGAATGGGAACCCCTTTTTCTGCTACTGGAACCACTTTCTTTAATACTATGCATTTCGTGAGGTTTTTGATAATGGAGACGTTTTAGACAATTTAGCACGTCCAATCTGAAAATAGAAAAAAAATGGAAATTTAATATTGATCATTGCATTGAATTGAATTTATTATGAATTGTTTGTTTATACGTTTCGACAATAGATTTGAGACTTCGTTAAGGACAAACACTGCTTTTATTAATACAAGTAGAATATAGTTGAATGAAACAAGACTCTGCAAGTCGTCTAAGATCACAATTATTTTTTTCTATACAGAATGGATAAATCGATTATATTGAAGGCATGTTTAAAATTAAACATAGTTTTGAATTGTTTTGCAATTTTAGGATTATTAATTTAATAATATTTTTGAGAAATTTTGATTTTATACCAGAAAAATGGATCTACCTTTATTGTCGTAAATACGATCTCTTTAAAACAATTTCCCACATATCATTTTTACCATGGTGCATTTACAACATCTCTCGTAACTTTTGAGCCGTTCTTCTGATCTTGATGAAATATTCGGTGAATTTGTTCAAAATTTAATATACTATAATGTTTTCTAATTTACTGAAGACCTACAGCAACTCGGTGTACTTAAAAATCGTTATCGAACTTAGGAATTTAAATCGAGTGCATTTATTTATTATATCGTTTGTAACTTTTAAACTATTCGATTTGTATGATTGTTGTGTTAGATAAAGTTGTTTAAAATTAAACATTGTAGGATTGTTTTCGATGATGAAATACTCTAGAGCAACTTTGTATACTCTAAAATCGCAAAAAAGATATTTTTGTAGGCATACTTTTAAATTGATATAGACTAAAGAAGAATTATATTATGTTGACGCGCTTTAGTACATCTCGTATAACTTTTAAACCATTCGTTTAATATGAATGATGTATATGAGAGATTTGTGCGAAATTAAATTATATACAATATTGTCTAATATTATGACGCCCTACAGCAACTCGGTATACTTATAAATGCAACTGAAACTTCAATAAAATCTCTACGCTAGGAATCCATGATGGTGGCTCGCTTTGGCGCATATTGCATAACTTTTAAACCATTCGTTGGATATGAATGATGTATATGAGAAATTTGTTTAAAATAAAATTATCTACAATTTTGTCTAATATTATGACAATCTATAGCAACTCGGTGTACTTCCAAGTGCAACTGAAACTTCAAAATAAACTCTACGTTAGGAATCCATATTGGTGTCACGCTTTGGTGCATATTGCATAACTTTCAAACCATTTGATTAATATTAATGATGTATATGAGAGATTTGTGCTAAATTGAATTATCAACAATATTGTATAATATTATGATATCCTACAGCAACTCGGTATACTTATAAATGCAACTGAAACTTCAAAATAAACTCTATGCAAGGAGTTCATATTGGTGACTCGCTCTGGTGCATATTGCATAACTTTTGAATTATTCGTTTAATATGAATGATGTATATGAGAGATTTGTGCAAAATTTAATTATCTATAATGTTGTCTAATATTATATAACCCTACAGCAACTCGGTATACTTATAAATGCATCTGAAACTTCAAAATAAACTCTACGTTAGGAATCCATATTGGTGATACGCTTTGGTGCATATTGCATAACTTTTGAACCATTCATTGGATATGAATGATGTATATGAGAGATTTGTGCTAAACTGAATTATCTACAATATTGTCTAATATTATGAAACCCTACAGCAACTCGGTATACTTATAAATTCAACTGAAACTTCAAAATAAACTCTACGCTAGGAATCCATGATGGTGACTCGCTTTGGTGCATATTGCATAACTTTCAAACCATTCATTTAATATTAATAGTGTGTATGGGAAATTTGTGTAAAATTGAATTATCAACAATGTTGTCTAATATTATGACACTCTACAGCAACTCGGTGTACTTATAAATGCAACTGAAACTTCAAAATAAACTCTACGCTAGGAATCCATATTGGTGACACGCTTTGGTGCACATTGCATAACTTTTAAACCATTCGTTTAATATTAAAGATGTATATGAGAGATTTGTGCAAAATTTAATTATCTATAATGTTGTCTAATATTATAACACTCTACATCAACTCGGTATACTCATAAATGGAACCAAAAGTTGAAACTTATTTTTACTCTTCACGTGAAGAACAATTTTTTTATAATGATTCGCTCTAGTGCTACGCGTAAAGAAATTTATTATGACTTCCTTTAGAATATCTTGTATAACTTTTGAACCATTCGTTTAATATGAATTATGTATATGAGAGTTATGTGCTAAATTAAATTATCTATAAACTTGTCTAATATCATGAGACCCTACAGCAAATCGGTATACTTATAAATGCAACTGAAACTTCAAAATAAACTCTACACTGGGAATCCATATTGGTGTCACGCTTTGGTGCATATTGCATAACTTTAAAACCATTCGTTTGATATTAATGATGTATATGAGAAATTTGTTCAAATTTTTATCATCTACCTGAAATCCATCCTCTGTTCATCGCTCAACCTCTTAACACTTGGTAAAAGCGAAACAAAGAACGCTTTATCCTCGTCCAAAAGGTCCTCAGAACTCTTAACAGTGTCCTCCTGTTTCTTGTCCAAAAGTTTTATAAGGCGTTCCTCCAAGGGCCTATAAGGGACCCTACGTTTTCGCCTTCGATTTAGGTTGTGGTTTTGGTTGTATGAGATTTCATCGGCTTCTCGATGAATTATTGGCATCTGGGGGTCTAAAAATTGAACGTTTTCGTCTAATTGGGTTTCTACTGGCATTTCCATGAGGGCGTCGCAGGGGATGTCGTCTGGTTCTTCGGGTTCTTCATTATTTTCCCTGGGGGTAAAAGATCGATTATAATTAAATTAAAAAATTATTAGACAATATTGTTGATAATTTAATTTTACACAAATTCTTCATATTCATCAATAATATTAAACCAACGGTTTAAAAGTTATACGAGTTATATTGAAGCGCATCGACATAATGAAATTCTTCATAGTCTATATAAATTTAAAAGTATGTCTGCAAAAGTCGCTATTTTGCAAGTTTAGAGTATACAAAGTTGCTCTAGGGTATTTTAATTAAAGACATACTACAAAATATGTAATTAAATTCTATGAAAATAATTTTTCTTCCTGGATTTTTTATTAACTTCCCGTAGGGTAAGTTATAGTAATCGCAAAAAAATCGAAAATGAAAATTTTTATATATCTTTACGTTTCAGAGGTTTCTGAACATTTTGGCATACCTTAGAAAAAAATGGATGTATGTGTGTGTGTGTTGTGTGTGTGTGTGTGTGGTGTGCGTGTGTGTATGTATGTGCGGATACAAATTTTCGTCGACGATTTCGGGAACACAAATCAACCGATTTGAATAATTCAAAAAACATTCGATTCGTATCGATAAGGAGACGTGCTGATTAGTTTTTGGCGAAGGCAGGTCTAGCCGTTCCGGAGATACGGGGCAAAAAGTACCGAAAACGGTAACTCAGTTTTTAAGAGAACGGAGCGTCCGATTTTAATAATTCAAAAAACATTTTTACTTGTATTGACAAGGTAAAGAATTGATCAAATTTTCATAAAGGCAGGTCTAGCGGTTTCAGAGATATAACGAAAAAAGTAAAAAAAATGCCATTTGGCTGTCAAAAATGATCATTAGACATATGCACATCAAATTTTCAGATATTTTATAGAGATTTTAACAATAAGTATAAATTTTGTTTATTTTCCTATGGATTCCGTATCAATGTTTACCCGTTAGACAGCGACGCCGCGCTTACGCGCTTTAATATTTCGTCGAGCAGTACGATTGCTCTGAAAAACAAGTTCAGATCTTCCAAAACATGTCAAAATAAAGAAAACATTTTTTTTCAAAAAAAAAATTAAAAAAAAATTTTTTTTTTTTTTTTAAATTTAAGAAAAAAAAATTTTTTTTAAAAATTTTTTTTTTCAAAAAAAGTAATTTTTTGTCCAATTTATAATTTCTCAAAAATCTTATTTTTTCGAAGTAATTTTTTTTCAAAAATGTTAATCGTTTTTAAAAATAATAATAATTTTTGGTACGGGAAGTTCCAGCAATTTGCCTTAAGGCACGATGCCCTAATTGCCTTAAGACAGAATTCCACTTACAGCTAGTTTTACTTACTTTTTGACGTCGGTTGTTAGAAGAAAGGCCAGTAGATCGAAATAGATATATTTTCGACGTTTTTTGACATTCCACTGCTGTCCCTTTGGCCTTTTGGTCTTCAAGGCTTTTGTGAAGTTGTCTTTGATGTTTTCCATTTTTTCTGCAATTCTCTTCCTGAAGAAAACAACAAACAATAAAATGATAAATTTAATTTCTCTAGTAAAACAAATTCTTCTAGTAAAACAAATTTAATTCTTTCAATATTTTTCTAAAGACATATAGGTATAAAAAAATCTGATTATTATTTATTTTAATTCTAATTAAATTTAGGAGGTAATTTTAGAGTATACAGAGTTGCTGTAGGGTCTTTGTTGATTAAAAAAAACACATGTTGATTAATTTGAGTGATTTTAAACGGTACAAGATGGGTACAAGAATTAAATATAAGGACATCGTATTACTTTTTCATATTCAAGTGTGGTTTCAAAGTACACCGAGAGTCTTGTGACATAAGAAAATATTATAAACAATTCAATTTTATATATATTTGCAGAATATTTTATTTATTTTGGACAAATAGTTTAAATGTTACGAGAGATTTCATGAACAAATGACATGACATAAAACACTTATCTCGCATATATATTGATGTAACTGATTTTCGAATATAATTTTTAAGTATACCGAGTTGCTGTAGAGTGTTGTGATGTTCAAAGGTATTGTAATTCATTTAATTTTATACATTTTAGCCAAAAGTTTCATATATATCAGACAAACGGTTTAGAAGTTACACGATTTTTAGTAAATAAATCCATAAATAACCTTGTAATGTTCAAGAATTGTTCATATTAATTGTTCAATTTCAGATGAGATTTTAAAGTATACCGAGTTGCTGTAGAGTCTTGTGATGTTAAAAAATATTGTAGTTTATTTAGTTTTGTACATTTTAGTCGAATATGTCACATATTTTAGATGAACGGTTTGAAAGTTACACGATTTGCAGTAAATAAATCCATAAATAACGTTAAAGAATTGCCCATATTCATTGATCAATTTCAAATGCGATTTTAAAGTACACCGAGTTGCTGTAGAGTCTTGTGATGTTAGAAAATATTATAAACTATTTAATTTTGTACAAATTCGCCAAATACACTATTCATATAAATCAAACCGTTAAAAAGTTACGAGAGATTTTTTCATGAACAAATGACATAGCATAAATCACTTGCTTCGCACATATATAGGTGAAACTAATTTTCGAATGCAATTTTAAAGTATACAGAGTTGCTGTAGGGGGTTGTGATGTTAGAAAATATTGTAGTTTATTTAATTTTGTACATTTTTGCCGAATATTTCATATATTTTAGATGAACGGTTTGAAAGTTACACGATTTTTAGTAAATAAATCTATAAATGCAAGAAGTCAAGTTCATGGGTTCAAGAATTGCTCATATTAATTGTTCTATAAAATTGTTCTATAAAATAATTAATGATTTGTATAATATTAATATAAACATTCTATATATTATAGACCAGCTAATTAAATTACACTAATATTTAAAACATTAAATTAATGTGTAAATATGTTATAACTTGTATTCGGGCATTATGTCTCATACAATTATATAGCAACATGGATTCAAAATGCAATTAAATGACCATAATGGCATTTAAAATCATTTTCGAGATTATAGGAAATTTTCGACATATTCCAATCTAGTTACAAAGTTTTAACTAATTACTAATATTCTAAATAGTATATAATGGTGTTTAAAATCGTTAAGTTTAAAATTAATATTATTCAATTTCAAATGCGATTTTATAGTACACCGATTTGCTGTATATTATTATGATGTAAGAAAATATTATAGATTATTTAATTTTGCACAAATTCACCAAATATTTTAATTATATTAGACAAACAGTTTAATAGCTACAAGATTTATAATGAATAAACGTCCTGGAATGAAATGAATCGCATGGCCAAAATAATTATATTTTTAATTGCGATTTTAAAGTCGCTTTAGGGCTTTATGATATTGTCAAATATTATATACCTATTTGTGCTTTACTATTACGTCATTTACTTCGCCAAAAATAATAACATAATACCTTCCAGGTGTCCTTTAAGAAAGTCGTGCATTGTTATAAACTCGAACCGCCGACGTTCAAGGATAATAATATATCCTTTTAACAAAAGAATATAAAAGTCCCGAAAAATATTACCGGTTTTATTTTCAATGAAAGGGAACGAACGGATAATAATACAAGGAACATCTGCTATGATGCGAAACGAGAACAAAAATGAATTGTAAATGAAATATTTACATACTCATTGATACAAAATAAATAAAATATTCTGCAAATATATATAAAATTGAATTGTTTATTATAATATTTTCTAACATCATAAAGCTCTACAGCAACTCGGTATACTTTAAAATCGTAATTAAAAATGCACTATTAATCAGAACGCTCAATGAGCCAACTTCAATGCTTCGTTACATTCTAGGACATTTATTTAGTATTTACCACGTCGTAACTTTTAAACTATTTGTCCAAAATAAATAAAATATTCTGCAAATATATATAAAATTGAATTGTTTATAATATTTTCTAACATCATAATGCTCTACAGCAACTCGGTGTACTTTAAAATTGCATTTGAAAATGAAAAATTAAAAAAATTAATTAAAAATAGAATAAATTAATTAAAATTAAAAATAGAAAAATTAATCAGGCATTAGAAAAAACAAGTAATTTATGTCAGTCATTAATCTCTTGTAACTTTTGAACGGTTCGATTTATATAAACAAAATATTCGGCAAATTTGTGTAAAATTGATTAATCTATAATTTATTCTAATATTATAATGCTCTACAACAACTCGGTATACCTAAAAATTATAATTAAAGTAGATTTTTCATCAGAACGTGCTATAACATAACAATGTAATGGTAATGAGTCATTACTAATGACAACTCGTTGGTGCATTTGTTTAATTTATTTTTCTCCTAAACCGTATTTTTGATATGAATGATGTATATGACGAATTTGTTGAAAATTAAATAATCTACAATATTTTCTAACATTATAAAGCCCTACAGCAACTCGGTATACCCATAAATTGTGTTAGAAAATGGAAATATAAAGTAAATATGCAAGTACATGTCACATGTTTATGAAATTTCTTGCAAGTACATGTCACTTGAACGGTTCGATTTATATAAACAAAATATTTGGCAAATTTGTGTAAAATTGATTAATCTATAATTTATTCTAATATTATGACGCTCTACAGCAACTCGGTATACTTCAAAATCGCATTTGAAATTGAACAATAAATATGAGCAGTTCTTGAACGTTATTTATGGATTTATTTACTGCAAATCGTATAACTTTTGAATTTTAAAATTATTTGTTACTTTTAAATTTTTCATAGGATATAAATAGTACATATGGCAAATTTGTACAAAATTAAATAATCTACAACATTGTCTAACATCAAAAAACCCTAAAACAACTCTATCGACTCTTAAATTGTTCCAGAAAATACACTTACAATTGTTTTTACTTACACTTGCAGTTATTAGAGCAATTGATCGTAACTTAAATTATTTATAACTTTTAAACTTTTTATAGGATATAAATAGTACATATGGCAAATTTGTACAAAATTAAATAATCTACAACATTTTCTAAGAACAAAATACCCTACAACAACTCTATCGACTCTTAAATTGTTCCAGAAAATACACTTACAATTGTTTTTACTTACACTTGCAGTTATTAAAGCAATTGATCGTAACTTAAATTATTTATAACTTTTAAACTTTTTATAGGATATAAATAGTACATATGGCAAATTTGTACAAAATTAAATAATCTACAACATTGTCTAACATCAAAAAATTCTACAACAACTCGGTATACTAGAAAAAGGGCAGCAGAAAACACTCAACTTCTTGGCCTAGAATTTTTGCAATACAAGCCTTATGTTAGGGTAAATGATGACAAATTTTTGATGCAAAATGATGTAAATCTTTCACTAGCCCTCTGTCTATTAATAACAATCGATTGGATATCGTCGTCGATACAATCATGTTTCCAAAGATTAATATCCTATTATCCTTACCTTAATTGGATTACCGCAATTACCTTTGACATGTGCTGATTAGACTACAAGATTAACTATAATTATATCGGAATATAGGGATTTTGGTAACCGATGTTGGGTATTAATTTGGACAGGATAAATTAATTTAAATTTGAAGAAATTGTATTTTTTTATTACCTGCTTCGTTTTGGCGAAGTGGTGACCAGTCGTTCCATTCTGGGTACATCGATCTGGCGACTTGTTGCCATTCGCAGATTTTTGTCTCACGATTGTCGCCAGAATATTGGCGCCAAATTGCTGGGTGTTGCTCGATTTCGCGAATGAAGCCTCGGTGTCGAACATTTCTGGAGGAAAAAGACAAGAAAGTTATTAACCAGGGAATATATCTGTTTTTTCGTGGTTTTAATCCTTCTGATCATTTTTATATGCATTTTTAGGAATATAATGGTCGTATGTGTGTTAGGATCGTTTTTGGTAATAAACATTTGATTCGTATTGATGGTGCTAAAGACAAGCTCATGCATTTCGGTGCAATGAGCACGTAAAACAATCCTTTGGATAACAAAAAAAATTTATAATGATTTATTATGTAAAACATTTATTATTTAAATTTCATTTTGGATAGAATTCAAACTGTTGGTTTGTGAGACTCAAAAAAATTTTTAAGTGCAAAATCGTTTTTTTTTTTTAACTTTCGTTAGGGTAAGTTATAGTAATCGCATTATAGCATCCTTAGAAAAAATGAATGTATGTGTGTGTGTGTTTGTATATATTTATTAATTTCGCGTTGGTTAAGTTAAGTAAACACAATCAAAATGAAAATTTTTATATATCTTTACGTTTCAAAAGTTTCTGATAATTTTGGCATACCTTAGAAAAATGGATGTATGCATGTGTGTGTGTGCTTGTGTGTGATTTCGAGGACACGAGTCAACCGATTTGAATATTTCAGAAACGATTCGATTCTTATTGATGAGGAGACGTGCTGATTAGTTTTTGGCCAAGGCAGTCCAGCCGCTTCGAAGACACGGGGCAAAAAGTGCCAAAATAGTAATTCAATTTTTGAGAGAACGGAGCGTCCGATTTGAATGATTCAAAAATTTTTATTGATTAACTGATAAAATTTTTCGGAAGGCAGGTCTAGGGGTTACGGAGATCCAATAAAAAAAGTAAAAAAACGCCATTTGGCGGTCAAAAATGATCATTAGACATATGCACATCAAGTTATCAGATATTTTATAGAGATTTTAATAATAAGTGCAAAATTTAATAAGTTTATCCGTTAGTCTGCGACGCGGCGCTTACGCGCTCTGATAATAATCTCTAAAATAGCTGCGCATCGCGATTACGAATACTTTGAAAAAATGTTCAAAATTTTCAAAAAATCAATTTATTTTAAAAAGACATTTTTTTAAAAAAATCGAATTTTTTAAAAATCTATTTTTTTAACTTCCCGTAGGGCAAGTTATAGTAATCGCAAAAAAATCGAAAATAAAATTTTTTATATATTTTTACGTTTCAGAGGTTTATGAACATTTTGGCATACCTTAGAAAAATGGATGTGTGTGTGTGTGCGTGTATGTATGTGTGCGGATACAAATTTTCGTCGACGATTTCGCGAACACCGATCAACCGATTTGAATAATTCAAAAAACATTCGATTCCTATTGACGGGAAGACGTGATTTTGGCAATGGCAGGTCCAGCAGTTACGAAGACGCGGGGCAAAAAGTGCCAAAAATGATAATTCCGTTTTTGAAAAAACGGGGCGTCCGATTTGTGAGATTCAAAAAACATTTGAATAAATTTTGTAAAGGTAGATCTAGCAGTTTTGGAGATTGACTGAGAAAAGTAAAAAATAATGCCATTTGGCGGTCAAAAATGATCATTAGACATATGCACATCAAATTATCAGATATTTTATAGAGATTTTAACAATACATATAAATTTTGTTTAAATTTATATGGTTTCCGTATCAATGGTCGTCTGTTAGTCCGCGACGCGGCGCTTACACGCTTTGATATTTTGTCTCTGAAACAGCTTCGTAGCGCGATTGCGAAGGCTTTGAAAAACAATTCAAAATTTTCAAAAAATAACGAAATATAAAAAGAGTGCGCGTAAGGTTCACACGCGATTGAAGTAAAACTTATTTTGAACAGGGTAAAATTTGAAAATAATTGTCTGATTCAGACATTTTTAATTAAATCAACATTTGTACTACGATGTAACTTTAAAATGTTTATTTATCTATGGCGATTTCCTTGTTGATATCGGTACGCATACAACGACAGATCTCTATTCACATACGCGACGACTAATCACAATCGACCCGTATAGAAAGTAGAATAGAAATGAATGACGTACAGTTCGGGCGTAACGGACTTCCGTTGGCATTTGTATGTATTTACACCCTAGTCGCGCCTAAAAAGAAATTTACTTCAAAAATAAAATTATTCAAAAAAAAAAGTTCTTGCCAAAATTTCAAAATTCTCAAAGATCAATTTTTTCAAAGTTTTCGAAAAATTTTAAAGCTTTTTTAAAAATTTAATTTTCGGTAAGGGAAGTTTCAGCAATTTGCCTTAAGGCACGATGCCAAGCGCTACTAGTTATGTTTGCGTTTTGTTTGAAAAATGCTTAATTTATATAAATGTAAAAACGTCTCCGGGACGTTTCGTATAAAAATATACTGTATTGGCTCCCGCAGCCACCATTGAATTTGACTCATTATCATAAGGCAATTAAATCATTATAAAGCAATTAATTTATTTTATGCCGGCATTTTTTCTACAAACATGACTCGATTTTATAAATACAAAAATGTCGTCTGTTCATTACGATGACGTGTTTTCAGTATCGCGCGTCGCGTCACGTCCATACGTACCTCTCCTTTAGCGTGAACGCGTCGTCAGCATGCAAACTACTCCCAAGTAAACGTTCGAACGGCAAACGCTTTCGCGCTAATTTCAACGAATCAATTTATCGAACCGCCGCAGTAAGATACAAGCGATATAATTGACACAAGGACACAAGTGTCTATTTATATTATTTATATGATTTTCCTCCGAGCGGCGCACAAACGTTCTTCAGCGTCGAACGGACCGCGTCTCACTGACTCGATCGTTCGCGCCGACCGTGGCTCCTATGTCTGTGTCTCATCGAGCGGCCGGGCGGCCGCGCCGCGCCGCGCGTATTTCATAGGAATCTATAGTATGGTGAGAAGAGCGATGAGGTGCGGCGAGACGAACGCCTCGCTCTCGCTCCGGGCGGCGCGATAGACGGAGAAGGACGCATGCCAGACGGTCGGCGGATCGGCGGATTCAACGGTCGCTCGGTCGTTCTGTTGTCGGCCGGTCGGTAGGTCGGTCGGTTGAGTTGACGCGCACCCCGACGACGAAACGGATAAAACGCTCGGCGAGCGGGCTAACAGCAGATACACAGCGCCTATGAACGACGTACGAGACGAGTATTTCGTATGGATCCAACGGACGCGCGGAGCGGCCGATGCGGACGCAGAGGCGTCGATAATTGAATTGTTGCGTTAAAAAATATGCACAGTTAATGTATATGAATATAAGTCTCTCCAAAGGATTTTTTAAGCTCCAACGTCTTAGACATTTATAACATCTACAAGCAGAGGGTGCCGTTGTCTCGATTACCTATTTGCTATATATTAAGTACTTAACATGCTTAAAAAGAGCTTAGATATCTGTATAAGTTAACCCTTTGCACTCGGATGTCTTTTTTGGGACACTAGGCGATTTGTATACTAAACTAGTGGCGTGTTTCTTGAACCGTAATTAAAAATCTTGGTAAGGAACCCAAAAAAAATTACACAAAATGTGTACACATTATCAAAATCACTATAAAATATCTGATAATTTGATGTGCATAAGTCCAATAACCATTTTTGACCGCCAAAAGGCATTTTTTTAACTTTATTTTTATGAGGGTCCATAACCGCTAGACCTGCCTTCCCAAAAATTTAATCAGTCTTCATCTTGCCAATACAAGTAAAACGTTTTTTGAGTTATTAAAATCGGACTCCCCGTTCACTTAAAAACTGAGTTACCGTTTTGGCACTTTTTGCCCCGTATCTTCGGAACGGCTAGACCTGCCTCCACAAAAATTAATCAACACGTCTCCTTATCAGTACGAATCGAATTTTTTTAACTTATTTAAATCGGTTGATCGGTGTTCTCGAAATCGTCGACAAAAATTTGTATCCGAACACACACATACATACACACACACACATACATCCATTTTTTCTAAGGTATGCCAAAATATTCAGAACCTCTTAAACGTAAAGATATATAAAAATTTTCATTTTCAATTTTTTTGCGATTACTATAACTTGCCCTACGGGAAGTTAAAACAAAAACTGAGCTCATTTTATGTTTTCTTGACGTTTCAAAACATTCGATTCGCATTGACGCACAGTGATCAAACATCCTGAAAAGGTGGTCATAAATGGAAAATATTATCTGATTTGTCCAAAACTCTGCATTCTACTGTTTTCAAGGCTGCTGATTACGAATATGATATTCAATTTGCCAAAAATAAAATGGCGGATTTAAAATGGCGGACGACTTTTAAGAAATTACAAGTTATACGCTCTCAAAAATGTATACGGGGGGGTTTCGAGGTTGCTGCTCTCAATTAAGATATTCAGTTTACTGAAAACAAAATGACGGATTCAAAATGACGGACCATCTCTGAGAAATTACTTTTTATACGTTCTTTAAAGTGTTTCGAATTTGATATTGATTATACTAAAAATAAAATGTAGGATAAATTAGGAAGTGCTATCATCGGTAAAAATACGAATACTTACTAAAAAAAAATCATTACTTTTAACTGAAAAAAGTTTTATGGAATATCGAGATAAAACCTTGCACCGAAGCAAAATGTGCAACTTTGTGCAGCTGAATTTTACTCCACTTATAGATACAGATATTTCTCTAATAAAATAAAAATCTATGTGGAACTCGATGGAATTTTTTTTGATGCTATTGTAAAGTTAGTGTTATTCTCGAAAATCTAGAAAATTATCTTCAGTTTAACACGCATGTAAAAAACGAAAAAAAGGAAAAGCCAATATAAGATAGAATATTTTGAAAGAACATACCTTTACGAATAGATTCCTTGTTAACTTCCCGTAGGGCAAGTTATAGTAATCGCAAAAAAATCGAAAATGAAATTTTTTTTTGAAATATGTGCGGATCGACTTAAGATAGAATGATTTAATATGGTGCG